TTTTTTTTTTTAGATTTTATTTATTCATTCACGAGCAACATAGAGAGAAAGGCAGAGACACAGGCAGAGGGAGAGACAGGCTCTCTGCAAGAAGCCCAATGCGGGACCTGATCCTGGACCCCAGGATCACACCCTGAACCGAAGGCAGATGCTCAACCGCTGAGCTATCCTGGCGTCCCCCATGTAAAGCTTTTTTTTTTTTTTAACAAACTTCCAGGCCAAGGATTTCACACTGTCATCCGCTATACACAGTGTCCTCAAAGCCGAGTCTTGTGTGTGCTCCTGGAGCTATCCTCACTGAGACCTGACTGAAATCCTAGTTTTGCTTTCAGTTTTGTAAAATACTTTAGAGGAATTCCACTAAGCTTCTTAAAAAACAAACAAAAAAAAACTGCTCATGTATTTTATGATTATAATAGTTATTGCTATGGTTGTCATTACTGTCATTATTATTTTGCTTAGGCTGTCTAGGGTTGGTTTTAGCTGTGGTTAACTAAGTAACTTCTCCCGGTATAGCTAGTTGCCTAACAAACAGGCAGGGTAGGACTACGTCCATCTGAAGAGGATCCAAGTAGAGTTGTCACGTGGTATGTCCTCAAAGTGGCTGAGCACTTCCCACCTGCCAGGATTTCCCTTCTATACCCCCCCAGGCAGGCTCATCCCAACTTTGCCTTCATCATAAGCTACGGCAAGTTTAGAAACACAAAACTAAATGAAACATAGGCATGAACATGATCAAATTTAAAAGGCAAACAATAAAGTGACAAAAGCAAAAGTACCACAGATCTGATATTCAAAGGCTTCTCTGACTCACAAAAACAAGGAAAGAATGAAAATCCTCAAAGGAAAATGATGTAGAAACAGATGATGTGTGAAAAAAAAAAGCTATTAATAAAGAAAATAAAATTAAAACAGGGAAACAGGATGGTTGGGTGGCTCAGTGGGGTAAGTGTCCAATTCTTGATTTTGGCTCAGGTCATGACCTCAGGGTCATGAGATCCAGGCCTATGTCAGGCTCAATGCTCAGTAGGGAATCTACTTGAGATTCTATCTCCCTCTGCCCCTCCCCCTCACCCCCGCATGCTCTCTAAAATAAACAAATCTTTAAAATAACTAACTAAATAAATAAAATGACAGCAACACCCCCTTTCCATTATCATTTAGGAAAAATTTACCAAAATGATAAAGCAGTTGTTGCAAATGTTGAAGACAGTTTCTCCTGCCCACTGTTGGTGGGAGCGTGAAGTCATGCAGTCTGCCCACTTTTTCAAAGTACGGACCAAAAGCCTTCAAAAATTTGTTCATCTTTTTACATAGTGATCCCCATTCTGTAGCTTTCATCAGGGAAACGGACTTGTGCCGAGAGACCCGTATTTCATTGTATTGTTTATATAATTAAGACTTTTTTTTTTTTTAAAACTGGCTTTCTTTCCGGAAGGAAAGGCAGTATCCCGTGACACAAGTTAACATTTATTGAGTACTTCCCATAGGCCAGAGGCTTTTCTCAGAGCCCTGCATGTCTTAATTCATTCCTGGAGATGCTCACTGTGTAGCTGAGCCGAGGAGCAACTATGTGCCACAGCGCAAGAACAGTTGCACTGGTCTGGACTCAGGGTTGCAGGTAACACAAAACCAGTTACATGGCATTAGTTTTTATTTTATTTATTTTTAATATTTCACTTATTTATTCGTGAGAGACACACAGACAGAGGCAGAGAGAGAAGCAGGCTCCTCGCAGAGAGCCCAATGTGGGACTCGTTCCCGGGACTGGGATCATGCCCTGAGCCAAAGGCATAAGGTCAACCGCTGAGCCACCCAGGCATCCCAATGGCATTAGTTTTTAAAAAAAAATGATATTTGGGGGGTTTTTTGGCTCAAAAATCGGGGACATCTCAGCAATGTATTATTAACAGCAGATAAGACTTATTGGGGCTTTCACTGGGTCACATACTGTTCTAAGTGCTTTACAGGGTATTAATACTTTTGATCTTTACCTAATCCTGTGGGGTAGATGCTATTTTCAACCCATTTTGCAAGTGAGATAACTAAGGCAGAAGAGCAGTTAAGTGGCTTGCCCAATGTCGAAACAGCCAGTAATTGCAGAATCAGTAATGCCAGTCAACCAGGCAGCTGGCTCCAGAGCTCACGTTCTTAACTAGGTTAACCAGGGCTTGGCTAGAGTCAGGAATCGAAATGATGCTACCAACAAATGTGACCTCTTGGCTTGGCTTGCATCTCAGAGCTTCCTTCCTAGGTAGGCTTCCTCCATTTGAGTGTGCATGGTTGCAGCCCCAAGACCATGCTGACCTTACAGCCCCAAGACCACACTGACCATACCAACAAAGGAGGTCCCCAAGAGCCTCAGCCCGAGTCCCCAGGACTGCCAGGTCGGTTTGGGGCCAGTGTCTTCCCCTAGGACAGGGTCGCCCTCATGAGAACTCTGCAGAACTACCAGAGAGCAGACAATGTGGACACTGTGTGTCCACATTGGCCCAGTTAATGATGGTCAAGGGTCAAGGTGAAAACCGGGTAATGGAATTCCTGCTTTGTGCCAGGTGTTTGCAAGGCATTGAGGAGCTACTAAGATATGGCTGTTACCCACAATCAGGTAGGAGAACGCAAGCAAAGGGAAATCACAAGAATCTTTTCTGGAGCCCAAGCAGAAGGGAATAAATAACTGATCAGGAGGTGAGCAGGATCTGGAAAAAGCTAAGTAGTAGTGAATAGTAACTACCTGTTTGAATGCATAGGACATGCCAGGCACTAGGCTAAGTGATTGGTACATATTTATCTTCACTCTGGTACCTCCTGTCTAATAGATAAGGAAACTGATACTTAGAACAATGAAATAACATGCCCAAGGACCCAACACAAAGGAGCCAGGATTCAAAAATCTATAAACACCATTGACGTAACCCTGTTGCTAAGAAGAGCCAGCAAAGGTCATAGTCAATTTCACACACCCCCCCCCCTAAATAACTGACATTGAAAATGAAATTCCTTGGTTGGTAGCAATCTGATATCAGGTATCTATTAAGGTACACAGAACACACAGTTAAGAACTTATTTAACTGGCCCCAGCAATGAAGATGTGGTCATTAAATTCTGGACTTTTCCCAACCTGCTTTTAAGTATCATCAATATGGTGTGCGAGTGGTGCCATTAAAAATATCAGGGGAAAAAAGGCTCAAAGGATTTCAGATCCAAATACAAAAGCCCTGAAACCATCAAAGGGGAAACCGGATCTGACCTGAACATGCTACATATGGAAACCTTGGAATCCCTGCAATGCTCTGGGGAATATTAAGTTACAAGGGAGACCCAGCACTGACCTTTTTGCAGGGAGACAATCAACAGAACACTGTATTTGATAGGAGGAATTCACTTCCTGTTGACAAGGCTTCTAACCCTGTATAAGAGAGAGAAGAGGGGAGGGCTGAGACCTCAGTTGGCTTTGAATTGATGAACCCCGGTTATGGCGGAGTCTGAAAAGAAAAAGAAAAAAAAAACAAAAACAAACAAAAAAGGAGGTATTGTGTAGAAAGGCCATACGATCTGCCCAGCTGTTAAATCCTTTGCTCCTACGGGTCTGCTAGAAAGGCTGAAGAAATGAAAGAACCAGCAGAAACTGGACGTTCTTCTCTTGAATATTTATGACATTTCTTCTGCAAATACTCATGACCTCTAGAAGATACCAGAGTGCCTACTAGTTCAAATTTTACTTCCTGGGTGGAGGCTCTCTGGGCTATCCACCCCTGTATTAAATCCACCTCACACTGCTCTCCCTGCCGCCCACACTCGCAGCACTGCACATTGTCCTTTATTTGGTGACCCCATCACCTCAATACAGTATTTCTATTATGGCCTTGTACTGAAATGGACTCCTGCACTAGATTCTAACTCACCTCTGTCCTCAGCACTTTAACAGATAAAGCTGCTCAGAAAATGGTGACCGAATTAGTAACACACGACTCTAAATTTATAAACACTGCACTATGCTGTAGCAGGTTTCTGCGGTTATCTTCTGTCCAGGAGCTCCTCAAGGGCAACACCATGTCTTCTTCATCCTATCTCCGTCGTTGAGCGCGGCGTCTAACAGTTTCCAGCAAATAGTAGGTGCTCAGTAAACGTTTCGGTGGTTAGGCACATTTCTCTACACGTGACGCGCAGGGCGGGTGGGGTAGGAGAGCAATTAGCGGGACTACTGATGGAGAAAAGCTTGTAAATTAGTGACGGTCAACTTTTCAGTTGCTGAGCCGTGAGTGATGGGGATCGCCAGTCCTCTGGCCAAGTGCAACTTTGGCTCCCACGTCCCCAGCGGGGGCAATCTGTCACGAGTCAGAGGGAGGGGGCTGACCTGGAACACACACGGGTGCTCCCCCCTTAAATCCCACAACAGATCCAAGGTGCAGCAGGTATCCCCCTCCCTCCCCCCGAGGTGCCGAAGACGACATCGGCCCAGCGAGGTTTAGCTCCTGCCCGAGCCCCTCCAGGTCGAAGGGGCCACGCCTGAGACTCAGCTGGCTGCAGGCACCTGGGCCCGGCCGGCGGGGCTTTCCTCCTCCTGGGGCTGCCTGCGGGCCTTTCCAGTCTGGCCGGGCGTCTCCTGCGGAGGAGGAGGGCCAGGGGAGAGGCCGGGGCCCAGATGCTTTGGGCACAGGGGAGTCAGAGGAGGCCGGCGACCCCGGGGTCGCGGAGCCGCGCATCCCTGCCCGGCACACGTTAGGGGGCATCGGTGAGCTTGGTCCTTCTGGGCTTCCGTAGGTCGGAATCGACTCGGCGTGCGCACGCCCGGGCAGGATTCGTATCTTGAAACTCAAATCATGTCCGCGTACTCGAACCGCGCACTCGAACGCACAGGTGGCTAAGCCAGCCTTACCCTACAGTCTCCCCAACACGAAGACGGCAGAACCCCCACCCTCTCCCCGTAGCCGACACCGACCCTCTGGGAATCCGAGGGCGGAAGTGACGGTGGAGTTCCGGTGCTCGCGTCACTTCCGCCGCGCTTCTGGGCGGCGCCAAGATGGACGCTCCGCGGGCCCGGGAGCAGCTCCGGCGGCGGTACCTGTTCCCGCCGGACACCGAGGCCCCGCTGGACCGCGAGGGCTACGCCAGGCCGGGTGAGGCGCTCCCCCGGGCGCGGCCCGAGGGGGGCCGGAGTCGAGGCGCCCGGAAATGGCCGGCCCCGCGGGCCTCCCGCAGCCCTGCCCTGGCTGGAGGGACCGGGGTTGGTCTTCCAAGGCTTGCCAGGGAGTTTTGCCAGTCGGGTGTTTAGCTGCCTGAAAGATCCCTGGTGATCTCTTAGCCCTGCGCATCTTCATCTCAGCTGCGCTCCGGGATTCCCAGGACAGCTGGTTTAACACCTGTTTGGTAACAGCCATTGAAATTAAACACAAAAACAAAAAACAGCCGTCTGATTGTATTTATAAGAATCTGCCAAAGGATCCTGCTCTTACCAAAACCTGGGGACATGTGTGCAAAGTGTTTAACCTCAGCGTTGCTTGTAATAGCGAACGACTGAAAACATCTCGTTGCCCGTCAGCAGAGAGCGGGCTCGGTACGTTGGGATGATTCACACGCGGCACAGCGGGCGGACTTCTTTGTACCACCGTGGGTGGTTTTCAGAGGGAGGCGCAGAACCAAGGATGGCGTGCCACCCCTTGGGTACGAACCCAGGGACGTGTGAGGTCTGTTCAGCTGTAAATGCAGAGAACATGGAAGGATTCGTAGAAGCTGATGGGTCATTGCTTTTGGGTTGAGAAATGAGGGTTAGGGATAGAAAGAGATTTCATTTTAGATCTTTCTGTACTGTATGTTGTAAGTTATGTACATTTATTACCCTTTTATTTTTTTAAAGATGTTTTTATTTATTCATAAGAGACACAGAGAGAAAGAGAGGCAGAGACACAGGCAGAGGGAGGAGCAGGCTCCATGCAGGGAGCCCAACATGGACCCGACCCTGGGACTCCAGGATCAGGCCCTCCAGGATCAGGCCCCAGGCCGAAGGCAGGCGCCAAACCTGCTGAGCCACCCAGGGATCCCAATTACCCTCATTTTTTTTTTAAAGATTTATTTATTTATTTATTCATGATAGATACAGAGAGAGAGGCAGAGACACAGGCAGAGGGAGAAGCAGGCTCCACGCAGGGAGCCGGACACAGGACTCGATCCCGGGTCTCCAGGATCACGCCCTGGGCTGAAGGCGGCGCTACACCGCTGAGCCACCCATGGATCCCTATTACCCTTTTAAAAATAAACAGAAAACATCATGCCCAGGCATGCTTGTTTATACATTTCAGGCTCTGTCCCAGAATTTGCATTATAAACAGGTCTCCTGGGGACTCTGATAGTTTGCTAAAGGCTGGGGACCTCAGATGTATCCCAGTGGTTCTCACAAGAACTGAGAGAGTGGGCATGGGCATGTCACTCATCTGGGGAACTTCTTAGAAATGACGCATTAGACCCAACCCCAGCCACCTTATCTTTCAGATTAGGTCTCATATGGAAGAAATTTGATTTGTCCATTACCTGTCTAGACAGTCCTGTGCTGAGACTAGACCTCCACTGTGCCCTTGCCACTTTTGAGCTGCCGCAAAAGGTTGTGTTTGTTTGCAATAATTGAACTACATAGTTAAAAGTAGTATTTTGGGGGGGACTTGCAAGTCCTTCTTGAGCTGTATTGTCTGCTGTCTGCATTTTTCTTAATTAACAAGACTAATTGCTCTCCTAGGCGATATATGAAACATAAAAACTAAAATTCCTACACTGCCAGATGGTGTCATTCTTTCCAAAAGATGATAATAATTATGAATTTGATTTTAAAATATGTTTAGGGGGAAAACATTGCCTATATTGAACATGTTTTATAGCAGGTTCCTATTAATTATTTCTGCATTTATAAACCTATTTCGGTGGTTGTATGGAAGAAATTGGTACTCTAATTGGAAAGAATCTGGTTTTTGGAGAGCTCCAGGAAATTAATTTATCTGGCTGAAAATAGATGTTCTTTTTCCTCATAAATCTATGGTGACTTGATAAGTTGAAATCTCTCTTATTTGCAGAAGCCTCTACAGCTGTTGAGAAAAAGGAGAAACCTCTTCCAAGACTTAATATCCATTCTGGATTCTGGATTTTGGCATCCATCGTTGTGACCTACTATGTTGACTTCTTTAAAACCATTAAAGAAAACTTTCACACTAGTAGGTGAGAAAACTTTATTGCTTAGCTTTGTAAAATTAAGCATCACCATCTTATTTTTCGTGTTCTGTTTTGTCAGTTGAATTCTGCAGATGCCTAGAAAGCTCTTACTTCCTGCCAGGTGCCATGTTGGATGTGCTAGTGATACAAAGGTTGAAGAAGAGAGTGTGTGCTTTGGACATGAACAGCAGAACAGATGAGCCTGGAAAGTATTTCAGCATGCCTTTCATGCACATGTATGTTGTAAGATGGCAGACGTAGTGAATTTAAGAAGAATCTAATCCATTTGTAAAAGGTGGAAGAAGAAAGATTCTGCCGAGGTCTCTCTGAAGATAAAGTGCAAGAGTACTGGGAGGAGGGCGTGAGGACCGTGGTGGGTGAGAACCAGGTCAGAGGTTGTTTTCAGAGAGCAGTTACAGCTAACAAGGTAACTACAGGGAGTGGTTGAATTAAATTAGAGTTGACGTCACTTGAGGGAGGAGTTGGGAGCTGAGGCTGGATGTCAAATCGTCTCATTCAAGAGGATAGGGATCTCTTGATATAATCTCAGGAGCTGACATGGGAGACAAGGTTGTGAATCAGACCTGAGTTCTCACTGAACATTGGAGAGTGTTCTGGAGCCCCTGCCCCATAAAGAAGAAAAAAGGAGAGAGGTTGGTGAGCAGTGGAGCAGGCGTAGGGAGGGGTGGTGGTTTGCATAGGGTATGAACACAGTTGTTTGCAAAGAGCAGCCGGGCTAGAAAGGTGTAGCTAGAACTCTCTGATTCCGTGTTATCTTCTCTTCAGAAGCCTTCAGGGAGAGCAGTGACCACTGGCGAGAGAGTCAGGAGGTGCACGAAGCATGCAGTTAGGAGAAAGGAAGCATATGGGACTTTATTTAAACTGTTGGAGGGAAAAAGCTTGGGCCTCTCTTTCCTCATTCCCATGAGCTGGAGCTTTCCTCAATCACTCCTATTATCCTGCCCTTTGCCCTCCTTGCTCCTTCCCTGACTGAGTCCAGGATGAAGAAACAGGCGCATGTCGCTCAGCTCCTTCTTTCTCTTGGGAGCCAGTTGCCCATTGGAAGCACAGATTCCAGTCTGCTTTTCTCTGCCATCATTTATGGGAGCAGCCCCCAGATGAGAGGGTCTCTAGGTTTTCCTGACAACTTGGAGCCTGGCGAGTATGTCTGGTCACCAGAGCTACCTTCTCGTGCTCCCATCTGTGAAAAAAGCTGACAGTTGACCTCATTAGCCTAATTCCTTCTTGTCCCTCAGTTGGTTTAGAACCTGGGCTGGGAAAAGAGAGAGTGGTTACTTTGCACACTACCAGGGGCAGCTGTCTCTTTGTTATTCAGATATGTCATGAGAGTCTGAGATGTGTTTGGCTGTGGTGACAGTAATGAATGAGGCACATTTCTAGCCTCTCACTGTCTCTTCTAGTCCAAGACAGATAAATCAGTCATGTGGTGTGTGCTGTGTAAGTTTATGCACAGGATTTACCTCTTTGTCTCCTTATATTAAGTATTCTCACTACTTTAAGGAAATGGTGAGCTGAGGGATAATTTGTTACAATAAAAGATGTTGGGGGCAGCTGCAGGAGTAAGTGGAGTGCCCAGGGGCACACGCTGTCATGCGGCAGAGCCAGGACTCAGAATCTGCACGGAGGGCTGTGGAGCAAGAGAAGGAAGTGGAAGTCACAGGCCTGGCCTGAAAAAAATGTCCTCTTAGAGAAAAGCATGAGCAGACACTCAAAGGCTGAGGATTTTGAGTAGCACTGTATTCTTCCCGAGGGCCTCAGTAAGCAGTGAGGAGTTTGAGCAGTCCTGGGATGAGAGCAGTACCCAAGAGGGAGTACAGGCCACGATCTGCTCTCTGCAAACGGTTTATTTCTCCAATACCTGAGGTGATTTCTTATTACTTGTCCTGCTGTTAGCCCAAGTTCAGAAGCTCTAGGCTTTAGGGTTTTTAAATCTACACAAGCTTAGGGACGCCTGGATGACTCAGTCAGTGGAGTTTTGATTTTGGTTCGGGTCATGATCTCAGGGTCGTAAGATCTAGTCCCACATCAGGCTATGTGCTGAGCATGGAGCTCGCTTAAGATTCTCTCTGCTCCCCTTCCCCCTACTTAAAAAAAAAAAAAAAGATTAAATCTATGCAAGGTTGTAAGATTGTGTGTTCAAAGACAGGAGAGACAGGTCAACATTAAAGCGGATCATCACCATGCTTTGGAAATCTCCATTTTTAGGAAATTGCTGGTTGTGTGTAGGGACTTGAGAGCTGATTAAACTACAACAAAAATTACCATCGCAGATGCCCAGGCAACTTCCTCAGAGCCACCACGCCACAATTTGGGAAACCAGGGCAAGTTAGCTTCCTTTGGGACTGTTGTAGTGACTCATACACAGCCAGGGTTGAGGGCCACTGACTTGCAGTATTGTTTCGGTTTAGGCAGGTTCTTCAGCTGTGTCTGTCTGCTACCAAATCTGGACTCTGTGGCCACACTAGGATTCTGTGTGACATTAAATACGGATGAACAGAAGGATTCTGACCAAGCAAGAGGATCACCATAACTCTGGCACAGTGTTCCTCAGCCTTTGTTAGCACGTCCTAAGGAGGCTTTGCAAGCCATGTTATTCCTAATCACTCCCTTATCTACTGTGTGAATATCTGCTTTGTACACGCAGAAGGAGTACGATTATGTCTTCACTCTGGGGGCAATATCACCCCTGTTGAGAATATACACTGTGGCAGAAGAGGGGTCTTTGAAGGCCTCTTTGAAGAGGATCATGAAAAAATTTTTTTTTCAATGGATCACCCCAGTGGAATGACACTGATTGCTACTGGGCATTAACTGTGTGGGAAGTGCTTTTCTGAGCAACTGTGTGATTCTCGCAGTGATTCTGTAAGTGTTGGTGACATTTCCAAAGGACTGTGAGGGTAAGGAATTGTCCCAGAGTCAGAAGGCTAGTCATACTGAAGCTAAGATCCAAAGCCAGACCGGCACATGTGAAAGGCCCTGCTTTAACTGCCATGCTTTCCTCTCTCTCATAATTAATCCCAGAACTTGGCATCCTTCAATGCCTTCAAGGAATCTGGAATCTTGCATTGGTTAGATGTGTACTCAGCGGCTGTGTGACTTGACTGTTCCAGCTCCCCTGTGACCCGTCTTGTCCACATGGAACACTGGCCTTCTCCCAAAGGAGAAGGGAAAGATAATGGGGGCTGGGGATGTTGGCGGATAGAGAGGGCTTTGTTCCCCAAATCTGGCCTTGTCCCCTGACAGCAGGGGCCCAGGAGGCCACCTTCACATGCAGAGTCTTGGGTCTTGGGTAGAATTAGAAGTGAGAAAAAAGACACTGCCCCTCAAGAGGAGGATTGGAGCCCTTTTTCAAAATGGGTGTGTCTCCCTCAGCAATCTGTTCTGAGAGGCAGTTTGAAGAAACCATCTTCCACATCGATTGTCAGTACTCCCAGAAACCCTCCTTGACTTGGAGGTGTTCGCAGTACCTGTTTCTTACTCTCACACTCAGATCTTCAGAAAGAGACCAAGCTGCGGCGTGTCCTGTATCATTAAGGAAGACACATAGCCTTGAACACACTTGTGCTCTGGGTGGTGGTTTTGGAGTGTGTGCAGCACACGTGTGTTGAGGGCCCTGCTTTCTTCTGCTGCATCTGCTGGCCTCCTCTTGTCTCACTCCACCTCCCTTTAGACAGAGACCTGAAAGCTGGGATTGAGGAGCTGTGGAAATGGATTTTTAGGCTCTCAGTGAAAACCTTTAAGACACTTGCTGACTTGCTCAGTGCTGTCAACCCTCCTGTCGCTTTTGTCTCTGCAGTTGGTTTGTCGTGGGTGGTGCCCTGCTGCTTATCAGTCTGTCGATCGCATGTTACTGCATCCTCTACCTGGAGTGGTGTTGTGGAATTGAAGATTATGATGTCAAGTATCCCACCTTGATACCCGTTACAACTGCTACTTTCATTGCGGCTGGAATTTGGTAAGTTAACTTTGAAATGACTAATAGGAATGAAACGTTTTTTGATTGGGTACTGTTGTATATGGTACAAAACTCAATGAAAAGGAATAATGAGAAAATGGCCTCCCATCATTGCTGGTCTTGGAGTTCCTTTCCAGTAGGTTCTTTATGTATTTAGCTATTTAAAACGCAAATGGTGACATGCTGTGTGTATTTCGTATATTTTGCTTTTTCAGTCATTTTCAGTGTGAAATATAATACATACAGAAAGTGGAAAAACCTAAGTTGTGGAGCTGAACAAGTTAAGAGAAACATTGGCAAGAGCCCACTCAGGTCAAGGAGAACGGTGCCAGCCCCAGAATCCCTTTTTGTCCCCCTCTCTCCGCCACCTCTCCAGGCACCGTCCTTCCTGCCCAGGGACAGACACTGCTCTGACCTGTGTGGGATTTGCTTTCTTTTGCATCTCTCTCTTTTTTTGTTTTTTTAAAGATTTTATTTATTTTTTCATGAGAGACAGAGAGAGAGAGGCAGAGACATAGGCAGAGGGAGAAGCAGGCTCCCTGCAGGAAAGCCCGATGTGGGACTTGATCCCAGGACCCCAGGATCACAACCTGAGCCAAAGGCGGATGCTCAACCACTGAGCCACCCAGGTGCCCCTTTTTTGCATCTCTTAAATACTGTTTTTGTTTTGTCTATTTTTTTGAGCTTTCTAGAAATGGATTCATGTATTATGTATTCATTTACATTTGGCTGTTTACACATTATGTGTGCTGTTTATTACTCTCATGCTCAAAACTTTAGAAACAAGTGGAAAGCTGCTGTCTTTCCTGTATTGTGAAAGAAAAACCCATTGCCATGAGTGGAGCTGCAGTTGGGACCATGCTTCATAGAGAGTGTGCAGAGCCTCACCTTTGTTCTTCCTGCTGCCTCAGTCTCATCCTATCTCACCCCATCCTTCGTTAGATCTGCTTTGTGTATCACTGCTGCTCATTGCTGGTTAGCATCTCAGCCTATCACCGAATCCCAGTTTCCAGTTTGGTGGTGTTTTTAATGATGCTTTTAACATTCTGGAATATGAGTCTGGTGCGCATGTGCACACGTGTCTCCTGGGTGTTTATTCAATGAAAAATACTGATTTGTTTTAATATGTATAAAAGTATACTTGTTCTCTGAAGAAAAATCTATTAATTACAGAAAAACACAAAGGAAATAAATCAGCATGATCCTGCCAGCCAGAGAGAAAAATTACTCTATGTGTTGTCTATATTCCTATAGCTTTTTTCCTTTTTCTATGCTAATTGAATTTTGGTTTTGGAAAAACCATATACTTTTGTACATACTCAGTTCAAATGCATGTTTTTTATGATGAATTTTCTGTAGATGAAGTTTAAGGGTAATTGACATGTATTACCTTCTGTGTGGATGTTACTAACCCTTCAGTGGCGTGGGTGGCCAGGTGTTCTGTTTTACATTGTAAGAGCAAGATCACCCCAAATATGTTAGTTTTTAGAATAGTAGGATTATAGCTGTTTAAAGTCCTGCTTATCAAACTGTTTTTTTATCAAACTGTTACATAATAAAACCTTGATTTAATTGACTATAGTTTTTTCTAATTAATTTCTGCTCTTAGAAATTCAGTCTATAAAAAAAAAAATCATTTGCACTTAGAAGCTATCTTATTTTTACCTAGGTGACCAGAATAGTGTTTTTCTCAATAGGAAATTTAATAGCAGCTTATAAGTGATTACTTTTTTTCGTTCTGTTTTTTTTTTTTTTTTTTTTTTTTAAGATCTTATTTATTTATTTGAGAGAGAGGGTGAGCCGAGAGAGAGAGAGAGCAAACATGAATGGGGGGAAAGGGCAGAGGGAGAGGGGAAAGCAGACTCCCCATTGAGGTGGGAGCCCAATGTGGGGGCTCGATCCCGGGACTCTGAGATCATGACCTGAACCAAAGGCAGATGCTTTATTTTTCTAATAAAAAAATATTTGAAACTGTCTTGACCATGATCGTTTGATGGCATGTGGATCGTAAAAGCAGGCTGTAGCCATTATAATTCCTGCTCCATCAGATGCTGACTTTTAGACACTTGGGTTCCTCTTGGGCCCACTCTCATGGGAGGACCTCTGCCCATTCCAGCTCCCAGTGCTTTTAGAGGAGTTTGTGATATTTCCAGTGTCAGCTAAATCACATCTCTGAGAAACGTGTCATACGTATAAAGTTGCTGGTTAAGTGAACTTCCCCAAACCGAGTCAACAGTGGGTTCTCTAAATCTAGACTCCACAGCAGGATATGTGTATAGATTGCAGCTGGAGTTGCCCACCATGTGTGCTTTGTCCTTTTCAGCTTCAACGTTGCTTTGTGGCACGTGTGGTCCTTCCTCACACCGTTGCTGTTGTTCACGCAGTTCATGGGGGTTGTGATGCTCATCTCACTCCTTGGATGATTTCTAAAGGTAGGAGCTCTGGAAAGGCATGTCTCATATCGAATGCATTGGAACAGCGTCTTCTATGACAATTTTCAGGTGCAGGCCAACTTGTCGACTATTCATTCACTGAACTCAGACAAAAAGGACTGCGACCCCTTCCCTTTTGCATAAATTCTTTCTCTATGCCTGCTTCTTAGGCAAGGCACCCGCCATTCAGAGACGTCATTGAGACAGTGTTAGCACCTTCCAGAACAGAGAAGTTCACACAGTAGATCATTTTCTCCTGAAGTCAGCCTCCCTCACCTAATACATACATGGTGACAGGCTAGATTGCTCTGATGGAATGGGAACGTAGAGAGAACGGGCACTCTAACCTACTCTGGCTGCCTCATAACAGATGACACGTCAACCTTTTCCTTTTGTGTTACTTACAGAATTTCTTCTTACCCGCAGACAACTGCCCCTCTGGGTCCCTGCCTTTCACAGTAGGGTCTGTTTCCTGAGTGTCACATGACTCATTTGTCACATAAATACGTTTTGAGAGCTCTCCCTCTAGGTGCTGGGGACATGGCAAAAAGGACCAAGACAGCCACTACTTTCATGTCACTTACTTCAGGGTTTAGAGGAAATCTATTTCATACTTAGTTTACAGGCCTGAAAACAGGCCCAAAGAAGTAGACGCTAATATACTTGGGGTGCTAGAAAATAAATAGTTGGGGTGCTAGAAAACCGATTTTAGCTTGTTAGCTGTTAGCATGTGCTCCCTCTGGAGTTTTAAAGGAGAGTCACTGTGCCCACAAAGAGGAGAAACAGCCATAAACTCATTGCTGCCAGGCTGCAGGGGGTCACTGGCATGTCCCTGACCGCACTGTGAGGAGAGTCCCCTGCACACACTGTGGTATGTCTGGGGCCCTCGGCGTCGCACTAGCCCTTTCTCCCAGTTCAAGTCTGTCGTCACAAGAAGTCACCTATTCCGACCACGTGTCCTGCCTCTCCCCTTTCCCCTGAGGTCATTACATTTTTGGTCGTTCAGTTTTGACTTCTTACAGATGTTCATGAGCTTTTGATGTACTGCTGATGTGAATTTACATCTGGTAATGGACAGCCAGAGGTGTTGTAGGCCTGTGGGCTAAACTGTGCTTTTTAACAATAAATCCAGCAGCAGAAGGTAGAATGTCTCACTTAGGATGTCACTGTTGATTTTCTTTCAGGTTTAGACCTTCAGGCTGCTGGAAGCATCACAGACTCAATGGAAACGCTACAGTGTGTCTTTCTATCTAGGAAGTGAGTGGTTTCCTTGGAAAAAGTAAACTTTGCAGTATGGTTGAAATCAGAATAAATTCAAGTTCATTTGCCTTTTCTTAAACTCAAGTAATTGAATCAAATTCAAATTCTGTTTAAAACAGAAGTAATTAGTTTGCATTGTTGATCAGTTTGAATCAGTTTGAATTGTTGGAGCAAGCAGTAATGTAAACATTTTGGCTGAGTTTCGTTATAGATACATGATGTCCTCCCCAAATTGCAGATAAAATGTTCACTCTTTGGTTGTATACGATCACTGGGTGTATATAAAGGAATGATCATGTCCTGTGCCTTTAACCCAGCTTCAGCAATTACTATAGATCTCATTTTTATAATAGTTTTGTTAGGTGAGAGGACCAATCGAAAGCATTTTGTGTATTCCTGTCACTTTAGATTTTATCACGTGTAAATTATTGGGTTTCTAGCATTTGTTTAACATAAGCACTTTTAATCATTTTTAAGTATGTGTAATTTTTTCCTTGACATTTAAATAAAGTATTTTTATAACTCTTGTGGGTTTTGTTACTACAGATTTTGGAAAGTGTGTTTTCAGCTATTAACACTTCGAGTTAACTAGAGGAATAGGGCTCCTTCTTAGAGAAGTCTGCTCTGCTCTTCAAAGACCTCAGGAAGACAGTATTTGCACCTACAAATGCAAATACGTTCATATGAAACCCAAATATCACAGGCCTGGTGTTGATCTTCACCCCACCCCCTCAGAAGGGGCTTCAGCTGATGATGGTGGTATTCAGTCACCACTTGGCTCTGGCTTGGATCCCACCCTGCACCTGCCGTTACCAGACCTTGAGTAGTAATCTTTCTCTAGCTGTGAAGTGGGAACGCTATCTGTTCTGTAGGGTTGTGGATAATAGGAATAATGCTTACAAAACACCTGTTACAGTGCCTGGGACACAGTAGGCACTCATTCCATTCATGGTAATTGAAAAGGAATGAAAGACCAAGTAGATTCAGGATCAGGAATGGGAAAAGGCGGGCATGATCAATGAGCAGAATCGAGCCCATTCTGGGCACACACACGTGAGAGTTTCATGACAAGTCAGGAACAAGGTCAGACAGGTCAGAGGCAGGTAGTCATGTCAGTCAGTGACATGGGTGGGTCCCATGCAGAGTTGAGGTTGCAAACCCTAGAAGTTGGGATGAGAGTGAGTAAGGGACCGGCAGGGCTAGGTAGTGGAAGATAGGTAGGGGGCTAAGTGATCCAGCTCCCCCAAAATCCCCAGAAATGTCTGAGGTAAGGAAACCAGAGATAAGGAGACAGAACCAGACCACCTCGTTTGTCTTAAGCCTTAGAGATGAGATATTCAAAGAAGTAATCATGCTGCTATCAGTGGTCATGTCAAGATGTAAGTTCTCTGGTCAGTTTTCTATAAAACCCTGACCAGGGATCCCTGGGTGGTGCAGCGGTTTGGCACCTGCCTTTGGCCCAGGGCATGATCCTGGAGACCCGGGATCGAGTCCCACGTCGGGCTCCCGGTGCATGGAGCCTGCTTCTCCCTCTGCCTGTGTCTCTGCCTCTCTCTCTCTCTGTGACTATCATAAATAAATAAATACATACATACATACATTCATACCCACCCCTGACCATAAAAGCCCTCAGTGGCAACTCACTCGGGACCCCTCTCTCTAGAGAGCTTTTTCTTTCTGTTCTCACCTCCACTTAATAAACTTTCACTTTACTTCACCCTTTTTGTGTCCATGAGAGTCATTCTTTGACTCAGTGAGACAAGAACCCGGTAACAAGAGTATTGGTTCTGACCCACTGGAGGGGCCTGGGACAGAGCCCACAAACTTGATATCTGGGTAGAGTCTGCAAGAAAACACCTATCCTCCCTCCATCCCCCACCCCCACCCCAAACCCCATCTTTTATTGCAGAGTGTAGATCTACTGTTTGGATAAAAATCTAAGGCTGGGATTTTCTGTATGTAGTTTGTTAAAACCCAGTCAGCAAAATGCCAGTGGTGTGGCCCACTAAGACGGTAAGATGACCCTGTTAGTTGCAAAGAGACAGTTTAATTTTAAAACTGGATCATGCCTGGTCCCTGTTTCTGTTAAATAACTGCCATGTTATGTTATCTGTGGGTCTTTGCCTGTTAGTATAACTACTAAATAAATAAAAATGCTATCAGGCCATCCTGACAGTGCTTCTAAACAAGCCTGTGGGAGAGCACTGCTCTGCAGGGTAAAGAGTAAATCAACACTTGCAAGTCTCTGCCATGAAGGCCAGGGATATGATAGAAGCTCTTAAAAATTCCCTGACTCTTTGGGGCGCCTGAGTGGCTCGGTTGAGCTTCTGACTCTTGGTTTCATGGGCCTCTTGCTTTGGGCTCAGATCCTGATCTCAGGGTCATGAGATAGAGCCCCGTGTCCAGCTCTGCACAGAGTCTGTTTATTGCTCAGTAAATACGATCTTTCAAAAACTTTTTTGAAAAAATGGCCCTGACTGACCATCCCAAGTGTCAAGTCCAAGTTTTCTCCCAGCCTGCACGCTAGTTGCCCAGGCCTGCTGCTCAAGGGTTGTGGTTCGGGTGGTGAGCAAGGCTGTTCTGTGTGAAGGGTCCTGCGGGTGATCCTAACGTCAGGCCTGGGTCAGGAGCTCTCCTGGTCCAGTGAGTTTGGGGAGAGACTTCTCAGCACAAGCAGGGAATGTAGAGATAATAGAATCTAACTGTTCACTAGGATAAAAACCAGACTGAGACTCCTCCCCGGCCCCTCCTCAACCCCACAATCTATGTCTGGGACCCAGCTTGGGGGATCGAAGCCTTGCTAGGAGACTAGCAGGATTTAAGACCCTGGCTCTGGGGATCCCTGGGTGGCGCAGCGGTTTGGCGCCTACCTTTGGCCCAGGGCACGATCCTGGAGACCCAGATTCGAGTCCCACGTCGGGCTCCCGGTGCATGGAGCCTGCTTCTCCCTCTGCCTGCGTCTCTGCCTCTCTGTGTGTGTGTGTGTGTGTGTGACTATCATAAATAAATAAAAATTAAAAAAAAAAAAAAGACCCTGGCTCTGTCGGGGCCCTTGGGTTTTATGCACCATAAAAAAGGTTTCTTTAGCCAGAGAGGCAATGGAAGGGACTGGGGAGAGCTGAACAGCCATGTCTCTGCAGGTGGGCTCCTAGCCTAGGGGGGGTGGCTGGGGCTGGGTGATGAGTGATTCGGTGCTGTCCACAGCTGCCCCAGTCGGGATAAATGCCGTCCACATAAAGAGGATTTTGGTTTTTTTTTTTTTCTGTTTAAAGATTTTATCCATCTATTAGAGCGCAGCCATGTGCACAAGTTGGCAGGGGGAGGGGCAGAGCAAGAGAGAGAGAGAGAGAGAGAGAGAGAGAGAGAGGGGCAGACTCCCTGCTGAGCAGGGAGCCCTACGTGGGGCTTGATCCCAGGACTCTGAGATCCTGACCTGAGCCGAAGGCAGATGCATCACCTACTGAGCCACCCAGGCGCCCCAAATGCCCTCTACTTAAAAACAGTTTTTTTTGAAAGACTGATTCCGTTCCATATTCCTTGAGGTGGGAAAGAGTTTGGTGGATTCTAGGAACATGGAATTCCTAAAAATAACTCCGTGAAACAGCGGCAGGAGTATTTTGCACACTGAGGTCTGATTCCAAAGGTGGAGCGTTGCAGGTTCTGGGCCGAGCATGGTGGGGAGTTGAGAGCAGAGCTGGCCAGGGACTGGCGCTAAGCCGACTGCGAAGCCCTCCTCCCCTGAGTCTCAGACTCCGCTCCCCACATGGAGGACCACGATTTCCCCCGTTCAGGTGGAAGGGGGCCTCCGCGGCTGCTCTGTCAAGCAGCGTGAGCAACTAGCTTTTCGTGTTAGCTGCAGCCTTTGCAAACCTTTTAATAAACCTCACTTGGGGCATATCCGTGGTGCCTTGAGATGCATCATTCCCATGTGCACACAGATCTGTTGTCCCGTTTCCCTTCTTTGAATGCACACCCCGAGTCAGGTTCCCTCATGCTCCTCCAATTATGGACCATTTTCTTTGGTCTCCCTCGCAGCACAATGCCATCGAAGGGCTCCCTGTGCTCACAATCTCCAGCTGTGCTTCTTCTTTTAAAAAGTATGAGATATGTTTGTAAAGGAGGATATTTAATGTTCCCTTGTGTTTACAATAAAAAAGAGTCTAAAAGGACCTCAGGGTCTGGGTCCCACCTGGCCCACGTGCCCCCAGTGGCAGGAGTGACCCGCAGTCCAGCCACTGCTCCCCCGCTGCTCCCTCCCTCACCTGAGCACCATGTCTCTCCGAAGGCCATCCAGACTCTTCTCATAACCCCTTTGTCCTTGTCACAGTGGCCAGTACTAAAGGCCTGCGACTCCCGGGGCACATCTCATCTCCGCACACGTCTGTATGTTCTGGTTGTCTACACCTGCGTGACGAACCACACTACACGGGCTTAAAACCACTACCACCACTGTTATTTTGCTCATGAGTCTGAAGTTCGAACAGGAATTTGCAGGAACAGCTCGTTTCCACTCCACATGGGGCAACTCGACTGGCTGGCTGGACGGTCCCCGTCCAAGAGGATTCACTCGGGGCTGGTGAGGGCGCTGGCTGCGATTTCTCTCCGCATGGGCCCCCCCATGGGGCAGCAGGACCTTCCCCCTGCAGAGGCTCTCTGATCCAAAGGGGAGCTTCGGTATTAATTTTCAGTTGCTGCTGTAACAGATTCCCACAAACAGCAGCTAAAAACAACAGAAATTGATTGTCGTACAGTTCTGTAGTTTGAGGTCTGGTATGGGTCTCACGGGGCTAAAATCAAGGTGTGGGCGGGGCTGTGGTCCTTCCCAGAGGTTCCAGGGGGAGAATCTATTTCCTGTACTTTCAGGTAGTTAGCAGAGCTCAATTCCTTGCAGTCCCAGGACTGAGCTCCCCATTCGGAGCTGCTTGTCAGTGAGGCCGGTCCCAGCTTCTAGAGGCACCTGCATTTCTTGCTTCATGGTGCTCTTCCTCCATCTGAAAGCTTCACATCCCTCCGTCGTCCTGACCTCCTCTTCCACCTTCCCCTTCTGCTGAAGGGCCGCTGTGATTACACCAGGCTCACCTGGGCAACCCCAGATACACGTCCTATTTTAAAGCCCTTAACTCATCTTTAGCGTTCCTCTGGTCATATCATGCAGCATTTTTGGTAGCTTCCAGGAAGCAGGGTGTGGACCTCTTTGGGAGCATCCCTCTGCTCACCACTGTGTCCCAGAGACAGGAGATGGAAGCTTCCACTTAAAGCTTGGGCTCAGAAACTGCAAGTAGTCACAGACTCCAAGTCCAAGGGGACATAGTTTCCCCCATCCTAAAGGAGGAGGGTCAAGGAAGGTGTGGGCCGTGTTTTAAAATTACCAGTCTTGGGGACACCTGGGTGGCTCAGCGGTTGAGCACCTGCCTTCAGCCCAGGGCGTGATCCTGGAGACCCGGGATCGAGTCCCACATCAGGCTCCCTGCATGGAGCCTGCTTCTCCCTCTGCCTGTGTCTCTGCCTCTCTCTGTGTGTCTCTCA